TGAACACCTCATCCACTTTACCCTGCGTCTCAAGCGGGAACTGCGTATTATCGTACAAGTAAAGGCGCCTTTGACTCCTTTACATACTTCTCGGGATCCGCAGGAACCTGATGAACTGAAGGATGGGGCGTTGCTCCGAGTCCAAGCCTGACTAAATTTTGGAATGTCGGGTCAAAGACGTATACTTGACTGTTTGAGCACAGACATAACCTGTATTTTTCTTGGGTGTGGCCAGGAAACCATTTCACGATGTCGAATATTTCGCCGATGAGGTAGTTGTGGGCGATTGTCATGCGAGGTGTTAGCGGGTGGGTATGAGGGAAAGAACCTCGAGCTCACTCTCAGCAAAAGCATGGAACTTAAAAGCACAACACAACGCACCTGGGCTCCTCGTCCTGAATATTTGAATCCCCGAAGTAATTATATTCCAATCTTGTCGCTGCTTGGAATCCAGAATCTACCGGTCGCGAGTTCGGGCCCTAAACGCGGATCTGTGTACCATGTGCATATCGTCTTCTCAAGGGTAGATGTGGAGTGTCAAAGTGATTGAACGAAGTCGGGAGGTCATAGTCGCAAGCAGAGAAGAAGCAAAGAAGTTTTTTTACAGAACATCGTGATTCGTTTCGGAATCGATACTCGGTTCCAGGCGCTTTAACTTACGGCGCTCATACTCAGCTTCAGGCCATGGCCAGGGCCTTCAGGTATATCAACGGGGAATGGGCATCGCCAGAAAATTGTAATAGTCCAAGAGTTGTAGCGATACCATGACACCAGTATTTGTATCTCAACACTTCGGTACCAGTTCTCGGGAAGGTTAAATCAGGCCGTCGACTTTTCTTGAAGCACTAAGTCAGAATTAATAAAGTAGATGACTTTATACACATGTCATTATCTTCCGAGTCGTATATAGATCTAAGAAAGCCATCTAAGCTTCATGGTTGTGTGGATAACATATCCCCTGCCGAATCCCAAGTCGATTTTCGGAGGAAAACCGCGACGATGAGAAGGCTGGGGTAGATGCTCTGGCGGCGAGTTAAAGACTGATTTCCTGGCAGCGATGATTTATACACTCACTATCATGCCCATCCCCAAGGTTGTTACAACATTATGTACCAACGCCCACGTCCTTGTTTGGTTCTCTAGGCAAAGCGATACACAACCTATGGTCCCACCAAGCACCTAGCCCATATTTTATCCTGAGCCTCAGTCTTCAACCATGCAATGTTCAATTGAAGAGACGTACGAGGATTACTGTGTAGGTAATGCCACTCTCCAGAACAAGTATGAGAACCTTTTCATGCCGAGCGCTTTGGTTGCCATCTGCAAGGAATCCACGTACGGCTTTCCGATGTAACCTAGATCAAGGGTAAGTGTTGATTTAGTAATGGTTCCAGTCCTAGACATGGTTTGGAACTTTCCAGGTGTAGTATCCGATTGAAATGTTTGTAGCAAGATTTGTCACGATTGAGAGTCCGGTTCCCAGATAGGGAAGGATAAGGGTTGGTCCGTCAAGCTGCCGCCCGATGCTCGTAACCACAATTCTAAAGAGCGAATACCCCAGAACCTCCGCTAGAGAACACTCTAGGTTAAAACGTACAAATACAAGTTGAATGTGAGCGAACCGGCCGAGCAGATGAGGAGTACCCCAGGAACATAAACCGCTCTGCTGTTGTTTTTCCACAATACCCAGACTCTCCAGAACAACACGGCATCACCAATCAACATCTATAGGGACCAGAAATCAGGCATAGCTGACGAAACGACGCTTGTTGATCACATACATTTAAGAATAATGTAATATTCATCCCCACGTCAGGCCACAGGCGACGAAGGTCCTGCAAAGAGGCATCCAGGCAGCCTAACATAGGTACAACGGCAGCGGAGCAAGCTACAAAGACTGTTGACGAAGTCGTCATAGAGAGAGTTGCTCCGAGAAGTAAGTTTCTTGCCCTTGCTGAAGTAGAAGTGGGTCGTCTATGACGACAACCAACGTAAAAATCAACAATATATGTGCGGACAAGTCTAATGACTCACCTTAGAATCACAATACACATCCATTGAAGAACAAGCTGTGCGCCTGATGCCAGTGTGAGTTTTTGAAGAGCTCGCGTTGACTCGGAGGAAGGAGCACGAACCGTATGGAATGGCCGAGGCCACAGTACCCACAGCCCCGATAATGACATTGTATCTCATATGCCGAGTCTGTAAAGTATCGCAGGTATCCATGCTTGATGACGAGGGCCTGCAACAGGTTGCCCCAGTATAAGAGTGAAAGAAAGCCTCGTACTGTTGTACCGATTGCAGCGGCCCAAGAGACCCACCGGATCAACTTGAAAGCTCACCCCGCGAAAAGTCATAACCGCTCTCTGACCATTGAACACCTTTGAATGTTTGCGCAAAGAGGTTGCGACTGTGTTTATTGGAATCCGATTAGGGTGGAACACCGTAGACTTGACTGTCATGCATGTCATGACTTGCATCTTGATTCGCACCGGCGCAGACTCTTCACCGAGGTTCTCAACACCCACCTTTAATAATCGCAATACTTCAACAATGATGGTGCCGTCGAGCCGCGGCTCTAGGAAGGCAAAAGAACCATGAAAATGAGGTGCGTGACATAGCAGCCAGGCGCGTTTGGAAGTAGTAGTGCTTCGGAATATAGTCTCTAAGCTGCGAGAAGATTGGATTGTGTATAACAGCTACCGGCTATAGGCCACAGACCTATCTTCATAATCGAAACGTCTTGCGGTATCTTCCCAGTCTTAATGAGCGCGGATAGCTTGAAGACGAGTTGAACACACGGAAGAAAAACGTAAGCTCAATGACAAGTACGTACCTAATGCCCAACAAGTACCCTCTCCTTTTCGTCGAGTTCGAAGTTCCGACGTATGAATATGAGTTTGACATTGATGGTGCTGGTCGATGCAAAAGGTTTGTTTGAAGCTTCAGGCTTGCATGTATCTTTTTAGACTTGAGTAGCACGAATAGCTTCAACACGAGTTAAATACATGGAAGAAAAACGCAAGCTCAAATACGCACCTAATTCCCAATAGGTACCCTCTCTTTCCCGTCTTTCACGTGCCTCAATGTCAGAGCTAGACGCAATTCGTTTCAAGGTTTGAGAATTCTCGGTTCCGGTGCATGAATAATGAGTTTGACATTGAGGGTGGTGCTCGACGGACAAGGGTCGTTTAAACTCTAAAGCTTCAGGTTTGCATGTATCCATCTTCCTAGTCTTGAGTAGCACGAATAACCTGAATACATGAACGAAAAACGCAAGCCCGAGTACGCACCTAGTGCTCAATAAGTACCCTCTCCTTCACGTCGGGAAAAGCCATTGTTCAATCCAACTGCGCCCGATTTCCGCGTTACATTTCGAGTTTTGAATCTTGATGTTCTCATGGCATGTGGTGGTCGACGAAAAACGCAAGCTCGAGTAGGCACCTAGTGCCCCTAGTTACCGTCCGAAAGGCAACGTTGAATTCAACTGTGCCCCAATTACCGACGCCAGACGCGTTTCGCTTCGTTTCGAGATTCTCGAGCTTGAGATATATGATGGTCCATGGGCACTGTGTGTCCTTGAGCGAAAGAGTTTGGCATTGATGATGGTACTTGGTCAACCTGAACGAAGGTTATCCGGACCGGGCGCTTATCCTGTGAAGTTGGCAGACGCCCGACTTATCTCTCATCTTCTGTTACATTCTACTTGTAATTGTACATTTCGTTTCTTTCCTCGACCCCAGCTAGTCAGAGGTACTTGATCAACCACTCTACGGTACTCTTGAACGCTCCTTCCTTCCCTGCCTTGATCTTTGGATCACTCAAGTCACCGCGAACGGCAAATCCGTGGGTACAGCCGTCAAAGTACTCCCTATACGTGGCCTTAGCGGACAAACGATAACAGACAGAGAGCGCTCATACCTCTTGTAACCAGGCGCAAAGCCCTTGAATACCTCGTCCGCCTTAGCCTGCGCCTCAAGCGGGAACTGCGTATCCACAGTACACGAATTAATCAACAACGGCGCCTTTGACTCCTTCACATACTTCTCCAAGTCCGCTGGGACCTGAAGAAGTGAAGGATGGGACGTTGCTCCGACTTTGATTACATTCTCGAATCCGAGGTCAAAGACGTATCGACCGCCGAAGCAGTACCCTGTTGCACCGAACTCTTTGATACCCTGTTCTTTGAGCGCGTTGATGACTTTGTCGAGCGTAGGACGGGTCTTTTCTTGGGTGTGGTTGGGGAACCATTTCATGATGTCGAATGTTTCGCCGATGAGAGCGTCTGCTGGGATGGGGTCACCGTTAAGGTAGTCTGGGGCGATTGTCTGTGAGGTGTTAGCGAGGCTCATGTGTAAGAAGGAATCCAAGATACCTTGAACCCATTCTCAGCGAACGAATCTACGAGAAGTTGCGCGTTGACGAGTTGAGGACCGAACACGTCTGCGAGATAGAGAACAACTTTGTCTTTGGGATAGTCGGACGTGGGGGTTGCGACGTAGCAGTCGACACCGCCTATCTTTTCCCAGGTGCCTGTGGTGATTGGGTGGTTGAATGGCTTATCGATGGAAGATAGAGCTTGAATGTACCTGTGGGAGTACCTTCGTGTACGACACCTGTGAACGCGATTAGATATGGGTCTTTGGAAAGTGCTGGGAGACGTACCTTTGACACAGTCTTTGCAGAAGCTCATGTTGTGATGGGGGTGAAGGTGTGACAGTGGATGGATTTATAAGAGATGGTGGAGTTTGGACGTTCCCATACTTACAAATCGACGTCGAAAAAAGGAACACGCGTTCACGCGATAAGGGTAGTGATGTCATGTGTCGGCGTTGCCTTATATTTAGCATTCAACATAGTCGGATAAACGGTTCTGTTTTTCTCGTTATGCAGCCCGTGTCAGAGGGCGATTTATTCGCAGATTTAGGATTTTTAAGAGGGTATTTCCCCATTTTATCACGAATGACAGGTATAGATATTTTGCAGCCGCAATCTGCAACGTCTTGGTCGATTAGTGGTTAAATCATCTCGTTGTGGTTTGTAACTCGATGACATGCGTAAGCAACCGAGAAGCCGAGGGCTCGACTCCCTCCCGAGACACCTGCATGCAAGGGTTTGACGTTTTTATTCTTCCAATTCCGCTGCGCCTCAGGCCTCAGAGTCTGGACTTTTCTTTTCATAGGCTATTATGATCATTGTCAATGACCTCAGAACATTTCAATCCATTTGTTCAACAATAGAGGAAGAGAGGATTTGCGATAGAGATTGGATTGAATGATATGTTCCCTTCTTCACCTCGTCTTCACCCTTCTTTACCTGAGCACTGAATGCTATTATTAACAGAACGAAGACGACAAGTTCGTCAACACACGCAAAGTCGACTCAAAATGACTCAAACCTTGGACATTTTGTTTGCATACTCAGAAATTGAAACATCATTAAAGTTCAACCACTCATCGACACGATGATGTGCGGCCCACTGGGAGACGGCATCTGTAACTTACATTTCTTCGTGCTTCAGACAGTACAGGTACATGAACCGCCCAGAACCGCCAGTGTGGAGGATGTATAAAGGTATGCATGGAGAGGTGAGTGCCGATCTTTCGTCGCTCAAGAGCTCGTTCTGAAGGATGCTATTCTAAAAGCGATTGTCGACCTTCATATCAACGTTTGGACTCTGGAGCCCTTTGTCAAATGCTACATCTAGTAGTTCGCAAGCTCATTTCGAAATCCAATCCCATCCGTCGTCAACACGAACTCTTATCCCCGACCTCTTTCCGATTTCGAGTCTGCATGAGAGAAGTCATGCATTAGCATACTCTTTCCTGTACACAGTACAGATGACACGACACCCCAAACAATTCGTCATCATCGCGCTTACTTTGGCGGTACGACTCGGATTCATGTCTTCAAACAGGGACATGCCGCTCGTCCACATGTTCCTATTGTGACAGTTCCACCTCCACCACCATCCACGGGACTCGACATCAGATGCGTCTACTATAAGTCGGCGTACGGCAGGCGGCCAGGACGCGCTGAGTGCTTAGAGTTACTTCACGTTTCTCAACGCTTAGCTGTTCGGAGACCCATACCGCCACCAAGGGACCTACATCTAATTCGTCGTCAACATTAGCCGCCGTTACCGACCCCTTTACTTCAGAGGAATCGTTCAACGTCGTTCTATGGGCGATTTCGTGAACTGGCCTGCTCCCTTTTTCTTACTGGTTTGCACAGATGGCACTACTAACCCCGGACAACTTGTTATCATGGCGTTTCAGTCAAAACTTCGACGGCACGACTTGAATTCCTGGGCAACCAAGCGGATTCTCCAAAAGCACGCTTGTGGAGTTCGCTGGCTCGAAGTGTTCACAGATTCCTCTGGGAGTTCGGAGACAGCTCTGGTTCTACGACATCAGATGTAGTACCTATCTCCGACTCGGCGATCAACTGTAGAGAGGCCGGTGTGTTGGATGTTGGGTGCTCAGAGTTACCGCACGTTCCTGTCAACTCGGAACGCGTGGCTGCGGGAAAAGTCGGTTGCGGGATGTGGGGAGTATGAAGGGGAGAGTCAAATGAAACCTTAACGCGAGTCTCGTCTTTTACCGTCCTAAGTCACGTCTCTAAGAGTCCTTTTAATTCAAGGTACATCAGAATGCTATAGATATCTCAGACTATACATCGTTCTAGCAAGACTTCAAGACAACTTCTGTGCATGGTAGCAGCGGAGAAATACATCACGTATGTTATCAGCAATGATGACAAACGCTACACACTGTATATGGCGGCCCGACCGGATACGTAGCGACTACCATATCTTTCACCTATCGATATCGCTCTGGCCAGCCTCTGATATAACCAAGTGGCGAAGCCTATGCCAGACCATTCTGAGCTCACGCAATAAAGTTACGTTGTGAGCAGGGAAGTTATTGTTTGACAGATCCAATGGGGAAGAAGATGGGGGTGGCTGTGGACGGGGTAGGTTTTCAAGCAAATCCCGGCGTTCATACAATAGTTTTTTGAATGCAGCGAGATCTTCCTCCTACATTGAACGGATCAATCTGCTCCAGAAACACCAACAGTATATCACATACCTTCACCAGGTTTAGGTGAACACTTTTAGAGGTGTCATGTATGATGTCGTCGTGGAATACCTTTTGGGCGTCTTCTTCGAGGTGCTTATAAATGTCCCGAACCTTAACCAGTATGTCTGCATTGGCTTTTGTGACGTGAACTACGATCCAGTCATTGGGAAGGATCATGCTCGGATCAGACGTAGTAGGAAGGAGCAACCTTGTGTCCGTATATCCTCTTCCTCCTGGGCCCAACCATTCCGGGTTGAAACACGAAAAAATAAAGTCATTCACTATATCTCCGCAATGCCTGGTGTTGATTGGGTGTAAATGACTTTCGAGAGTGAAGATATCATTGATGGCCAAACGCCGTGGACAATTTCTAGCATAACCAATGTAAAAGCCATCAAAGAAGGCTTCTACTCTCTCAATGAATTCCTGGGGTGCTGGCCCCTCGAGTGACTAATGATATGGCCGTGAAATTTGTCGACACACTATAGAGGATTCACATACCTTTGCCCACCGCAGCCATTCTCTGAATCTAGCCATCAAAAACCTCCCTAATAGCACTGAACATGGAATCTCCCATATCATTGCTATAGTATGACAAGGCTCAAAATTATCCAATTCAGCTAGAAGGCTGACACTTGGAGTTTTAATCCGACGACAGAGACACATCAAGTCGAGCAATGACTGTGACGTGCCACTCCACATTATGTCGCTGTACTTTTTGTCTAGCAACCCCTGCCGCCTAAGAAATCCAGCACCAGGTGGCTGTCCTGATGGGCAATACGGGGGATAGCGTGACATGCACAGAGAAAACATGCGGAGGCTACGGATAGCAAAAAGTTGATAGTATTCTTCTATTGAATATGGCTGGATCAAATAATTCCCCGCCCGAACCCTGTCCAGGAGAAACTCCGCGAAGGAAGCATGCAGGATATGTACTTTGGTGTAGATATCCTCAGGAACGTGGATCACGGAATAGAGTTTCGATAGGAGCATCTCAACTTCGCCAAGCTGGAGCTGGAAGAGCTCTGTAAGGATTTTTAATGAGGGCCAAGGCAAACTTGGCATAATGCCGTTCATATCTGGAACACGGGTGACAAGTAGCCTGAGGATTGGGCTGACTTTGTCCCAGTTTAGACACGAAGACAGGATTTGGCGGTACAACATATCCAACGCAAGGTACCGAGAGTCCTGAATACCATCGAGGTCCATACGCAGGATTCTTTTCAGTCGGTCTTGTGGTCGTTCATCGGGAGTATCAATATATTTGATGACCGTGGCCGCGAAGATAAATTGTCCGCTCGCTCTCTTGACAAGACTCATCACCTCAGCTTCATTCGGCCATGCCTCTCCTTCATGCCGCAGAACAGTATGATACTTCTTTCGGAGCGCGTTGAACTTCTCCAAGAGGTATTTCTGGATATCCAGATCCGAATCAGTCAACGTTCTCGTGAATCGGACTGTCGTAGCCGAAACCTCAATGCGCTCCAAGACCGATGCAAAATGTGCGTTACCAATGCCGTGGCGAATCTGTGGTTCGGAACGGCTGAAAAGGAGGAATCTGAAAGGGAATGGTTTGAGGATGGCGAAGAACATTACGAGGTCAATGATGGTTAGGAGCCTTTCTTGCGAGGGTGGGTCGATACATTCATCTAATCCGTCTACAATGATGAGGTCTGGGAGCTGTTCCCATTCGGATGGCTGAATTTGCGAAAATGGTTCGAGCAACAGTTTCTGAATCTGGGCTTCAGATGTGGACTGGAAGACTGTTGGGTTGGAACAGATAGCTCCAATGATCAAGGGACCGACAACGCTTTTGAGGGGCTCCAATGTACAACATTGGTAGGCAAGTGTGGCAACAAATGGTCTGAGTTTATCCCGCGTAGAATCATTTCTCGAGAAGAAAAATGTCCCGACCACTCGATCTCTATGATCTTCTACAGTCTTCTGTGCAATGGCCGACTTTCCAACACCAGCGGCTCCATAAACCCAAAAGACCTTAGTGGTGCTGCTTTTGTCCTGTATCCACTGGCTTAACCTCTGAAGGGTGCTCACCCGAGTGTTCGGATGGCAGTTCGGGGGAGGATAACGTGCCTCCGCATCAGATGTTGCATTAATAGCTGCATATGTTGCAAGAAGTCTGAGTATATCCTCTTCGTGTTTTCTAATGAGCGATGTTACTCGACAAGACAGAGCTAAAAACTCACCGTTACTACTAGACTGTGTGATATTCTGTATAGTCTGAGGACCGTTGACGGTGTTATAAGCACCTCCGTGAATGGTGAAGTCTTTTGGACTGTTGAACGACATGCAGCCAACGCTTCAAAGAACGGTCTGTATAGTGAAGGTCTGTAGGCTCGATACGAGTCAAACGAAGGCACGGTGTTCGATGCGTGGGGTGCAAGAGACAGCAACAAGCCTGGAATTGAAGGGGGTATACACAAGAGGGGAAAGAAGGGTATATGGGGGAGAGCAACGCGGGGTAATGACACAGTAGCCTTATGGATGACAAGCATGTTGAACTCATGTCCTCTCTCACCCACTCTACCAACATCAGATTCGAATTTCGACGCATACTTTTTCATTTTTCATCCTTTCTTCAATTCTGCTGCGCCTCAGGTTCTGGACTTGTCATCGGCGATCAATAACCTCAGACCATTTCAATCCAGTTGGTATCAATGGGGCAATGGAAGAAGAGAGGATAGATTGACATTGAATGGTACGTTCCCTTCTTCTCCGTTTTTAAAACGAGCACTTAATGCTATTGACAGAACGAAGACGACGAGCTCACCGACCATGCATTCGAAGTCGACTCAGATTCACTCAAATTTTGGCCATTTTCATCGCATACTCAGAAATTGAAAACACATTATTCGACGACTCATCGACGGTTCATCGGCACAATGGCATTTATAAGTGAGCTGACCTGTTATACTTGCTCAAATCGTGGTTCTTACATCTCTTCGTGCGTCAGATACATGTACATGAACCGCCCCAGAACAGCTAGCATGCAGGATGTAT